CCTTTGTCCGCTGGGGTACTTCAAGCTGGTAGTAGCCCCTCTTGTTCCCATACCTAAGATGATTACGCTCCAGCATTTCAGCTCACTTGTAACTCTTTATGGCTGCAGGATTTACTTTGATTTTTCAGCTAACTACTGACTTCCTTCCCCTCCATGCGTAATTTTCTACCATTGGTTTCAAAGTCAAATTGCCTCAGTTCAGTTACTTGCCATACCATCTTTTATTTTCTAGTAAAGAAACACTGCGTATTTAATTATTTGCGGCTCGTCAGAAACGTGAGAAGAATGCTACTTTCTCGGACTTAAGGAAGGAGGAGTTGTGGCTATAGAATGATGGCTCAGAGATGCTTGTTGACTATCAAAATGACCCTGTACTAGACAGTGGCACTTCTGTGGAAGAGTGGTAGGAAGAAGCTGGATAGTTTTACTCTGCCTCTTAAGTGACTATTTGTCCAGCCAACAAAGGTAGTTGCTTGTGCTATCACCATATTAAGTTGAAATGACCAAACTACAATGATCTGTTGAATTTTGTATACTTTTATATTTATACCCTGGTATATCGTTATCACTCTACCTCAATCCCTCCCAAATATCATGATTTTCATTAATTTTTCTTTTCTTGTAGGAAAATCCAGAAGATGCAGAATTGTCAGCAGTGAATTTACTTATTTGTTTAGTTGCCAGGTATTTAATTTGCTATAGACTTCACATCTGCATATTTGAGAGCTCGTCAAGTTTGAGAGTCTTATCTTATCCAAGGAAGACAGAAAGAAGAAACTGGGAGTCATTAGCCAAGTGGCATGACATTTCTAATAGGGAAGATAGTAGAATCTGTTGTTGAGGACATGGTAATAGAGTAGTGGAAAATCAAAATATGCTAGGGTCAGTATGGTTTTGCAAAAAGAAAACATCTGTGACAAATCCATTGGAGCTTTTGTGGGTGTAACAAGAAGGGGAAATGAGGGGAAACCTGTGGGGTACATTCCAGAAGCCATTAGATAATGCCATGTTGCCATGTAAGAGGTACTATCAAAGTTGAGTAATATCTCAGCATGGACTTAAGATTGATTAATAGACAGAAAATAAAATGTAGAAATGAACAGGTAGTTTCAGGATGAGGAGGTTTAGCTAGTGGAATACCCTGAAGATTGGTGCTTGGACCTAGGCTAATTATAAATCATTATGACATGTCATAATATTCTAGTACACAAAGATAACAAAAGCTGTAAGAAATTGAAGGAATGTAGACGAGTTCATGACTGGACAAGCAGGTAGCAAACAATGTGGGGAAGTATGAAATTATTTTTGTGCTTGTGAACAATGAGGAGTCTAAACGACAAATACATGGAGAAAGTCTTCTGAACCAGCACAGGTGATTATAATTTTCTTTGCCAAACTGAAAGCTGCAAAGCAGTGAACTAGATAGGACCTTAGGAATATAATGCAGAAATTTAAGATGAGTTTAGGATCTTTCTAGATAAATTTATGGAGAACAACAACAACAACCATCTTAATTCTGACACACTGATATAAAGAAAGGGAATCTTCTCTCTGTAGAAAGTAGCTGGGTGAATGTATTTCACTGTAAACATTTACTTTAATTTGTTTGCTTTTTCAGGTATTTTGAACAGAGCGATCTTGCAGATAATGATTAACATGACTGCAGTCTGGAATAAGAATTCTACTATAATTTTCAACTTGCTTATTTCATTATCCTTTTTTAAAATGTGGATCTTTCTATTTTGATGGACAAACAATGTCTGAAATTTGAGGATATTAAACAAACTGCAGTGACATTTAAAACTGAAGATAAAGTGCACAGATGAAAAACAGTGCCAAATAACTGTTTTGAATAAATAGTCTGACTAGTTTTGGAATGGTTTGTTATTGATTTGATTTAATTATCAATCTACTTTTTGCAAAAAAAAAACCCTGTATACCAAGTTATTTACTGAAACAATGAAGCCACGAAATTCCAAAGTTTAAACAAAACTTTTTAACCATGTAAGAGTCAAGAATGGTTAGAAATATCTTAAGCTCACTGCTTATGTGGATTCTAGCTAACTGGTTCTGAAAGATTAATCCTGATAATTGGTCAGAATACCATTGCTTGTGAGATGTCAGTTGTAAAATAAGCTGTGAGGCAGCAGTGCTAACCTAAATCAGCACTAGGGAGTTGTGTTCAATTCCAGCCTCGGGTGACTGTGCAAACTCCACACCGACATTCTCCCCCTGTCTACATGGGTTTCCTCTGGGTGCTCTGGTTTCCTCCCACAGATGTGCAGGTTAATTGGAGGAGGCATGCTAAATTTCCCATAGCATCCAGGGGTGTGCAGGCTAGGCTGGTTAGCAGGGTTACAGGGATAGGATAGGGGAATGGATCTGGGTGGGATGCTTTTCTGAAGGTTAGTGTGGACTTGATGGGCTGAATGGCCTGCTTCCCCACTAGGGATTCTGTAATTCTAGATAACAATGGAGTTTTGGCCAACTATCTGAAATTCTACAGAAGATTGTGCCTAGAGGATGAAAAAAAAAACATGCAATGGACCAGTCTTTTTTTTTCAAATTCTACAGTAGTCTTCATTCATGTATTTGTATTATGGCATGATCCTTCCTTAGACTGGATAGCTAATTAAAAAGTCTACATAAGGTGTCAATTTTTTTTCCTCAAATTCCCCATATCCACACTTACATCAGAAACTAATCTACCTATGTAAATTTCATTAACTGCATCCTTTGATCAGTGGATGTTGCAGTTACCACAAGCAGGAGAATACAACCATTGTGACAAGGCTGGATTACAAATATGGACAAGAGAATTTATAATAAAACAAAAATACATTTAAAATGGGAAACAAGTTGCTTACAGCTTTAATCTAATTGCTATTCAAGCCTGTTACTGTTATATTTAGCTCTGATGTGCAATGCCATATTAAAAATAGTACTTGTCAAAGAGCACATTTCATAAACTCGTCACCTGTGTTCAATTGAAGAACATTATGGCCCATTGTTTCTTTTCCTACTGTTTTCTCCAAATTTTTTAAATGTTCATCTGTAATGTTTGGTCTTTCTGATGAAAATATCTAAAAAGACCTGACTTGTCCAATGCTGTTCATTCTCCTAAGCGCAACCAAAATTCTGCTACCTGTATAGGACCAGCTCACCCATCACCTCTGCACTCATTGATCTTCACTGATTCCCAACTTCGCCGATACTTTAGACAGAAAGAGAATTTCAAGCACTTTTATGGTCTCTATCTGCCCCTTCTTTGTAATTTCTTTTCTGCCTCGCAATCTTCAAGAAGTGTTCCTCCAACTCTGGACTCTGCACACCTTTTACTCCATTCACTAAAACTTTGGCAGTTGCACTTTCATCAGTTTAAGATTCCCAAATTTCACCTTTTAATATCTTACATTTAAATAGCACATCTAACAGAAATACACTAAAAGTACTTCATGTGAGCGTTAAAGCCTGATACAACACCATTAGGGGACCTGAGGGCAGAGGACCGAAAGGCTTTTTTTTTTTAAAAAAAATCGGTTGGGTAAAAGAAAATTGGTGCAAACTGCAAGGGGCCAGCAAGTTGGAAAGAACGAGTTTTAAGCAATGTCAGAAACCAGAGTTTAGGATTTTAACAGCTGAACGAATAGCTGTCAGTTGTGCAATTAGTAATTAAGATAGGGGATGAGGTGGAGGAGAGATTAGGGGTATGGTCAGAAGTTTTTGAAAGTGATCAAAATTTTTAAAAGAGTGGTTGCTCAACCAGGAGCTAATGTAACTGTTTTAACTAAGGTAATGAGGAAGGGTCACTCAAACTGAAATGATAACTCTGATTTCTCTCCACAGACGTTGCCATACCTGCTGAACTTTTCCAGCAATTTCTATTTTTGTAACCTAGGTTATAGTCACCCATTCTAATATCTCATGACTAACTGTCCATTCTTGGCTGTTTACACTCTTCAGCCTTTTGGGGACATTCCCCCATGTGAAATAAATACGTTCTAAACAAACTACTCTCCACAGATGCTACCTGACTGCTTTTCCAGCATTTTTTGTTTTGGATTTTGGGGGATTACAAGTTATTTCAAAACAAAAATGTCACCAGTAAAATTTCATGTCCAAGGTGAAATTTATATTTATTTGGCTAGAACAGATACAACCACTGTCTAAATTTATCTTGAACAGAACTCAGTTTCTCTTCCTTCAAACATTCTTTTTCGTGTTAACAAAACTTATATTTGTAAGTTAGAGTTGAAACACTCATTTATACTTGAACTGGGATAAGACAAGACACGGTGGCTTAGTATTTGTATGTTGGAAAAACAGCATGGTATTTTTCATCCTTTATTAACGTCTTCAATCCAGTCAAAATATTACAATAACTCTGAAAAGTTGTAGAATTTATCGAATTCAGAAGTTAGTCTGATGTATACAAGTTACAGAAAGTAAACATGCTCACTCACAAAGATAAAATAAATATGGACTACATTTTAATTAATTCTATATAGCAAATTTATATTCGTAATGCTGGCCCAAATAAGGAACAATAAACATAGATTGCACTGTCTTTTTTTCTGGCCTACCTAATTGTCGACAGATCTTAACATCCCCCAATTCTGACGCAAGTTATAATGGGGAGGAAACATGGTAAACCAATTAGATGCATATTTTGGTTCTGTCTTCACAAAAAGAGGATTCAAATAACATCCCAAAAGCAGTGGGAACATAGGATCTAGTGAGGGAGAAACTGAAGGACGTCAGTATTTGTAGAGAAATAATGTTGGAGAAATTGGTGGGATTAAAGGCTGATAAATCCCACATTACTTACAGAAACAAAGTGACTGTATCGGTGGTCATTTTTCAAGATTCTAGAGAGTCTGGAACAATTTGGATTGGATGGCAGCTAATGTAACCCCACTATTTAAAAAAAGTGGAGAGAAAACAGTACATGGGATTGGGGCAGTGCACCGATATGGAGAGAGAACTGATTGTCAGACAGAAACAAAGAGTAGGAATAAATGGTCTTTTTCGGAGTACAGCAGTAATTGCTGGGGTATTGCAGGGATCAGCACTCAGATCCCAGCTATTTACAATATATTTTTATGATTTAGGTATAAATCTCCAAGTTTGCAAACAGTACAAAGGTAAGTGGGAGGGTGCACTGTGAGGAGGATACACGGATGTTTCAGTCTGATTTGGATAAGTTGGGCGAGTGGGCAAATGTATGGCAGATGTAGTGTAATGTAGACAAAGACGAAGTTATCCATTTTGGTAGAGAAAGAAAAGGCAGATTATCTGAATGGCAATAGATTGGGAAAATGGGAGGTGAAGCTAGACCTGTGTGTCCTTGTGCAACAATCACAAGGACAACCACCCCAAGGTGAAGGGCTCTTCCTTTTAGGGTGGCTCGGTGGTTAGCACTGCTGCCTCACAGCACTAGGGACCTGGGTTCGATTCCACCCTTGGATGACTGTCTGTGTGGAGTTTGCACATTCTCCCCGTGTCTGCATGGGTTTCCTCTGGGTGCTCTGGTTTCCTCCCAGAGTCCAAAACTGTGCAGGGTAGGTGGATTGGCTATGCTAAATTGTCCAGGGATGTTTAGGTTAGGTGGGTTAGACATGGGCAATGCAGAGGTATAGGGGAATGGGTCTGGATGGGATGCTCTTCGGAGGGGCGGTGTAGACTTGTTGGGCCAAATGGCCTGTTTCTGCACTGTAGGGATTCTATGATGTGCAAGTACAGCAGGCAGTGAAGAAGGAAAATATGTTGGACTTCATAGCAAGAGGATTTGAGTACAGCAGTTGTACAGGGCCTTGGGGAGACCACACCTGGAGTACTGTGTGCTGTTTTGGTCTCCTTTTCGGAGGGTGGATGTTCAGGCTATGGACAGAATGCAAGTAAAGGTTTTCCAGACTGATTCCTGGGAATGGCAAGACTAACTGATGGAGATAGAATGGATCAGTTAAGACTATATTCAATGGAATTTAGAAGATTGATGGGAGATTTCATTGAAACCCATAAAACTCTAAATGGATTAGTCAGGGTAAATGCAGGAAGGATGTTCCTAATGACCGGAAAGTCTAGAACTAGGTATCACAGTTTAAGGATACGTGGTAGGCTATTTAAGATAAGAGAAATTTCTTCATCCTGAGAGTGAGATTCTCTGCCACAGAAACTGGTTGAGACCAAATCATTGCATGTTTTCAAGAAAGAGAGTTAGATATAGGTCTTAGGTCTAAAGGAATCAAAGGATACGGGGAGAAAGCAGGAACTGGGAACTCAGGACTGAGTTAGATGATCAGCCACGATCACATGGAGTCTACTCTGCCATTCAAAGGACTGAGTAATCTACTACAATCCTATTTTCTATGTTAGCTGTTCATAGAACCAGTTGTTCTGAACAATTTCAATCCTTTCTCTTACATACTTCAGTTGTATAAACAGTTTAGTTCCTGACTGCTTTGTAAATGAAAGCTGAGGGGAAGGACGGCCTAGTGGTATTAATCACTGGACTGTTAATCCCGGAACCCAAGTTTGAATCCCACCACAGCAGTTAGTGGAATTTGAATTCAGTAAAAATCTGGAATTAAGAATCTAATGATGAGCATAAATATATTGCCGATTGTCAGGAAAAACCTGAATGTCCTTTAGGAAGGAAACTGACATCCTTACCTAGACTAACTCCAGACCCACAGCAATGTGGCTGACTCTTAACAGCCCTCTAGGCAATTAGGGATGGCCAATAAACGCTGGCCTCATCCATGACAGAAGAAATAAACAGCCAATTACTGACGATAACATGCTCAATTTAGCCAAGAAAAAAACAAAAAAACCAAAACCACTGTCATTGGAAGACATCAATGGTTACTCTATCTGGTTGTGTGTGTGTGTGTGTGTGTGGACTATAGTTTGTTGCACAAGTAAGCAAATAAGTGGAGAATTATTAAATATACAGAGCTATCCTTCAATTTTTTCACCATAATTTTATACATATTGACAAATATTGTTTATTACTCCAAAACCAGTTTTAAATTATTACATCTGCATATTCTGTACGTGTAAGCCTAAACTTCTTTATTCCAGCACAACATGCCGAGTGTGCAGTAAAACTTAGCACTTCCATACTAACAGGTTTAAATGTCCTATTTATCTTCCCGTTCCAGAAGAAATATTTGCCCAATTCTTTAAGAGGGGCTGTATCTGAGAAAACATGAATGCAGCATTATTTAAAGGCAATTGAAAAAAATCAGTGGTGATTCCTATCTCACCTACTCTACCATCTCATCTGAAAGACAGCACCTTTGCTATAACAGCATTTCAATTAGTACTGCACTAGTGTGTCGGCCTCAAAGCAGGTCCCTGGAATGGGACTTAACCCCAAATACGGACTAAGGAGGGCTCTTCTGGCACAATGGTACTGTTCCAACCTTGGGCCAGGTGGTTCAAGTCCCACCTTCTCCAGAGGTCATCATAACATATCTGAACAGGTTGATTCAAAATTTACCTAAACTGACCAAGGATCTTCACCTAAAACTGTTCTGCCTTGAAATGGTTGTATATTTTAAAAATTTTATTCCAATTCTAAAATTTCTGCACTTGCAATAGTTTTACTTCATCCAATTAAAGTAAAAATAAACTAAGCGCTTTTTTAAAAAATGAATTGCAAAGTAAAAGAAATAGATCAACCTAGTTACATCTCTAAAAACAAATTGGAATACACACCAGGAGTCCAATTTATTAACCTAGTCTAAACTGAATTTTTATTCTGCTAGATGATCAATGCAGTGGTATATGGTGATCACTAAACTCCCATTTAAAAGTTACAAAACTTAAACACAGAGCTGAAGACAATCATTTATGTAAACAAATTCATTGTAATGTCATTTCACAGAAGATAACATAATACTTTCAATGTTTTAAATCATCTAGATTTTAAGCTAATACTTGAGTGCTTGAGAAGATATCTTCTACATCTTTTGTATCATTACTTGGAATTTACCTGCAAAAAAAAAAAAATAGATAACTACTTCATTTGGGATACAAAAGCTCTTGCAATTATTTCCTTTAATTAATTTTGCTTTATCACCGTATACTAACAACCATACTTGTACCTGAATTTGAACACATCCTTTAAGTAAAACTACAGTTTTCTTAATATATTATTCATAAGCAATCAAGGGGAAAAACATTACAAGGCAGCTTAGTTGCAAAGGTAAAAGCAGACTATCGGCCAAATATTCTAAAATGATAACCAATTCTCTCACCATATTTTGCCATAATTCTGTTTATCAGAATTTCTCTTCTTGATTATCAAAGAGTAGCAAAATGCATGGAAGATGATCAGCTAATCGAAAAGTATTGACAACTGATGTGGAGCAACCCCTTAGCTCCAAGCAGTTGTAACAAACTAAAAACTCTCAAATGCAACTATTTTTAAGTCACCACACAACTTACATGCAGGCATTGCAGTAACTTCCACTGTCACAATACTTTTAATTCCCAAGTTCGATAACGCACCTCGAACTATTCCACAAGTAAACGCCAAATACTGAAATAAAAGATAAGGATGATGTTAACCTCCTGTAATATGCAAAGAATATTGAAAATCAATATTAAATCAAAACTCAACATGGCTAGCTAAAGTTAGCACCGCTGCCTCACATTGCCAGGGTCCGATGTTTGATTCCAGCCTCGGGTGACTGTGTGGAGTTTACACATTCTCCCTGTCTCTGCATGGATTTCTTCTGGCTGTTCTGGTTTCCTCCCATAGATCAAAGATATGCAAGTTAGGTGGATTGGTTGTGCTAAGTTGCCCACTGCGTCCAGGCTAGCTGGGTTAGCAGGGTGGGGTGCTCTTGAAGGGTTGGTGTGGACTGGATGGACCGAATGGCCTGCTTCCACACTAAGGATTCTATGATCCTTAATGTCCACTTTGCACTAAATGCACAACTAAGTTCTGCAAGATAGCTCAATACATGTAATGACATTTTTAAATGTATAATAAATGAAAGACATTTGATTCCATTTATATTTTTCCGCTTCCAAATAAACAAACATTCTCAGAGTCAGAACAATGCAAACAGAAATCTCAATTTAAAAAACTAAGCTTTTGGCTAGAGTTACAACAATCAAGGGCTATTTAAGGTACTGTTTATTGAACTGCATGAACTGTTCATGGGTCTGTGTCTCACTTTAGCATTATGAAATCCTGGATATCAAAAATATAGTTAACTCCCAATCGAGTGTCTATTAAGTTTCTAAGTGTGTTAGACACAAGGTTGTGCATTTCTAAGTGTATTGATACTGCTAAAGCAAGACAGTCCCACAATTTAGTGAGCATTCATCTAGGATGAGTTTTAAAAAATAGTTTGTAGAATTCATCTGAATCATGCCATACGCAACACCGAAGTGCACAAATATCTCATTTTTCAATATGATCCGTTAGTGCGATTATTTTGCCTGAAAAAGGTGTGTAAAGTACTAAACCCTCCCCTGTGAGCCAAGGTATTTCTAATACATCATGGTCTTGTCACGCTTGCAGATCACCAACCTTAATTAACATATTACTTGCATTTGTTCATATACACTCCCAGCACATCTTACACCACCTTGTATTCCCACCGGATCTCAAAGCAAATTTAACTTTATTTCCCCTCTAAATTCTCTCTGCTCTACTTTCCTTCTGGTGGACCATCCCTTGCTAAAATAAGTTAAATCTTTGCTGTAACAACAGTTAACATTTCATTGAAGACAGTGGTTCTTTCTAGAAATCTCTACCATGAATAGATTCCAAAGCCCCATCCTCCCGCACCATTTCTCCAGCCACTCACAAAGCTATCACATCCTGTTATTTCTATACTCAATGTACGCTATTGGATGTTTTTCAGGCATTACTACCTTGAAGACCCAGTTCCTTAATTTCCTCCTGAGACACTGTTTGCAGGTCCATAACCCTTCTCTTTCCTACATTGTTGCTTCCTATGCAGACCATAACTACTGGCTGTTGCCCTTTCTCCCTCAAAAATATTTTGCAGCCTCACTGCATTCTCTTTTGCTTAGCATTAGGGAAGCATCATCATTGGTGGACCCTCGCAGATGAGGATGACTCTCTTACACTCAGAGCAAGTCCATAGGTGGCAATACAGACTGATGCAGCTTCCACAGGATCTGTTACACTTGGGACGCAAGGTGGTCGCAGGAAGGAGTGAATGAGGCATTGATGTGGCAGTGCTCTCCTTATGCGGTTTTCGCTTGGCCTCTGCTTCTTCCCCCGATGGCAAGTCTCAAAATGCTTGACACCTTGCCAGGTGCTCCTCTGCCACTTTGGATGGTCTTGGGCCAGTGATTCCCAGGTGCCTGTGAGAATGCCGCACTTAGTCAGTGAGGCCTCGAGGGTATTACTGAAGCACTTCCTCTGTCCACCTGCCGTTTCAGAGCTGGAAGTAGAGCACCTGCTTGGGGAGTCTCATGTTGGTCATGTGGATGACCTGCCCAGCCTATCGTAGCCTCAGTGCCTCAATGCTGGGGATGTTGGCCTCGTCAAGGACACTCGTGTTGGTGCGTCTTTCTTCCAAGCAGATTCTCAGGATCTTGCACAGGTGCATTGGTGGTGCTGCGCCAACACCTTGAGAAGTCTGGTGTAGACAGTGCACGTTTCAGAGCCTTAAAGAGACCAGGAACCACCAAAGCTCTGTAAACCAAGAGCTTGGTATCAGATCTGATGTTGTTGTTCTTGAAAACCCTTTTACACAGGCAGCCGAAGGCTGTGCTAGCACAATGGGAGGTAATACTGAATCTCTTCATCAATAGTGGCTTCGGCAGACAGGAAACTCTAGGTATGGGAAACATACCTCTTGAGATTCCAGTTCGCAGTTGCAGAATTGTTCAGCTATGAAATTCCCTACAATTCAGTGAATTTCTAGGTTTTACTGTGTGAAATAACTCCACAAACACCAGTATCCTGTTACCCTTTATTTACACATGCATAGTACAAGACACTGACCCAGCTAGCATAGAGCCGGCTCCTAGAGTGAACAGATCTTCTGACGCTCTTGTTTATACTCTTCGCCAGGGATCTGGTCCAATCAAGGAATTAATATTCTATGAAGCTTTACCTGGCTGACCTCATTCCAATCACTATATTCCCTCCCCCTCTAAGTCCTGGGATATAAGCCCATTAATATTCCTGTAGCTTCTCCAGGTCTGGTTCCTCCAACTCTGCCTCAGATACTGGCAGCATGTATTGAACCGTAGCCCACCTCTTGCACCCAGAGCTTCTCAGAAGAAATGCACCTTCTTCAGGTGGTAACAACATTGAAGCAGCGGCATCTGCTATGTCCATCCTGTCCTCACAGGGTTCTTCAACACTAGGCGAGAGGGGAGAAGCCATGGGTTCTGACAGCCCTGCCAGATGTTCTGAGGGCCCAGATATGTTTTGCTCCCACCCCATTTGCGAGACTCCAGCTTTCATGTGGACCACATGCTTGTTCAGGTCCACCTCTTCCACCTGAGCTTTGTACGTCATGGGACCTGCAACACATGCAGGGCTAATCCTATGGTTTTGGCACCAAACTTCGTCCCCTTAAAGTAAACTGCATCTCTCGATTAGTCTTGTGTCCAACATTGGCAGTCCCGATATCATTATGCCCCAATCAGGGAACTTGTGTTCTAAAGAGATCCATCTGGCTGACCTTGTTCCAATCACTACACTGTAGTTATTTGTTTTGGTGCCATAGATGTGCTGTATTTGTCCTCCCCTGAGCTCCCTTGACAGTTTTTAAATGCTGAATGCTGAGATTTCAGTGCTCCTAGATTACTGCGCTGTCTTTTTCCTACCCGAGTTTGAGAAACCGGACAGTAATTCCTGCAGAAGTATTTATTCAGGACACAACAAAAAAAGTCTTGAAGTTTCCACATGGCATTGGAGTGTCAAGTAATGGGTATCAGTGTGGTTATGGATTTTAATGTTTATGTTTACCATTTCCCAACTCCTGTTTACTTCGGAATTATTTATGTATACCAGGTTTTTATTTAATACAGTTCAGATCCCTATCATATTGGTATCCTCTAATTAGCTCATCTTAATTTTATCACTAAGCATGTCCTTCCCCAGCTCACTAAATTCCCATCTCTATTTCTTTCAGCAAATCAAACAGATTCATCTAACTGTACACACGATGTATATTAGCAGATTGCCATATGTACTTTCTCAAAGCAACAAGTTACAACTAGCTATTCAGTTGCCAGCCACAATAAACAAACATGCTGGTGTTCTAGTGCAAAGAGCTGCCCACAAACAAGTCGTACATTCTGGGATATTTCATGATCAAGGACTATAAGCTGAAAGATGCACTAAAGTTTGGGGAAGGTGCCACAAAGGGTCAACTGGGAAAATGCCACCCTTTTAAGGCCTTTCAGCTTCAGTACGCAGAAGGTTGGAAACTAGATAAAACCAAGGCTGTACATTACAATGTAATGGATCTTGTAAATATTAATTGTAATTATAAATGCAGTAATATACAGTATTAGAATGAAGCAATTTAATTTGAAATTCAATTTTGAACAGTTGTGATGTACTTTTATAAATGTCACTAAAGCATATTTTTGGAAAAAAATTGCCAGGCACAATAATTAACACTTAGTCAGAGATACAGGACAAATCTGCCTCACAGCCATAAGACACTGTAGATGGACTAAGATAGTGCAAAGTAGGACTTAAACCCATCAAAGGCATGGTGCCCCACCTTCGGGAGCTGTTAGCCAATCAAACAGGCCAGCAGCTGCTAGGACTGCAGACAGGCTCATTAAGGAGACCCAATGGGAATCCAGATCTAGGTAAATCGAGGTCATGTAGGAGAGGCTTTCCAACCCAGGAGGGGTCGGAGGACTGCATTTTAAAAAGCCATGTGGCTACTATTACACAATGAGTAAAGAGCACCATCCAAACAAACATAGTACCTGCTTCCTTCCTGCCATTCTAAAAACAAATATGCAGCCCACACCAAATGCATTATGGTGAAGGTAGGCAGTGGTATAGTGGTAATGTAATATACGATAGTAATCCAGAGCAACAGACTAATGTTGGGACTCATGCCATGTCCTCAACATGGCAAGTGGTGAAATCTGAATACAAATAAACTCCGGAACCCTTAACAACTAGTTAAATTGGTTATTTGTCATAAAAGCCTCTGGTTCATTAATGTAATTTACGGAAAGAATATCTGCCTTCCATACCTAGTTTGGCCTACACGTAACTCCAAACCGACAGTAGTGTGATTGATTCTGTCTTGGCCCCTGAAATGACCTAGTAAGCCAGTCAGTTTAAGGGCACTTGGAGACAGGGAATAAATGCTGGCTGTGGGACCCACATCCTATGAATAATAATTTTTTGTTATTCAATCAACTTTTAACAGCTTTAATTGACCCTTAAGTTATTTATTTATATTGGTTGGTGGTCTGCCAGTTTCAATGCCAACCCCATATTACGTAGTGAACTTGTGGGTAGGTAATTTCGCCACATGGCCTATTTTGCTTGCAATTTCCAATCCA